TAAGAAAGGTTTCCAGTCAGAACTGTGCACATCCCAGATATCAACAAGAGTTCCTATGCCTCTTGACATCCATGCATCCCCAAAAGCCCCTGGCCCAAAAAAGGCGAAACTTGTGCCATCTTGTGAGAGAATGCTGGTATTTTCGAATAGAGGCTGTGTGAGTATGTGATCTATTACGAGTGGGGACTGTAACAATCTATGTGGCACCAGGTTCCAGGCTTTAAGCACACCAGCCCAAATCCCTTCCCCCATTCTTTTCCTAAGATACGTAGGACAGAAAATCGATAGCCACAAATGTCTGACATTGCTCCAATTCCTGTGTGTGTAAATCTCGAATTCTACCAGCTGCCTCCAAGCTGTCAAAGGACCCGCTGCCAATGCCCATGGAACCCACCTCGCCAGCAGCGCAACTATTTGTCGCTCTGGGTCTAATAATGACAAACCACCATTTTTTTTGGTTTGAGTGATCACTTCCCAAGCAACTTTCGGTAGAAAATTGTCGTCATTTATTTCTTCCTTCCACAAGTAATGAGTCAACAGGTTGCGCATCATTCGAAGGGAGGCAGCATCCAATTGAAAAATGGCTCTATGGTACCAGATTGTAGAGAGAACGAAATTATTCAAAACAATCACTCGGCCAAACAGGCTGACTCCTTTGTGTTTAGTCCATAGTTGCAGCGCCTCTCTCACTGACAATAGAGCTAGTGAAGAATCTGTCATCAGTTGTGGGGTAAAGGAAATTCTGTGACCCAACAAGCGTTCCTGTTGTGTGGGAACTACCACCCGGAGTCCCCACTGGGGAATAGGGACCCCGGGTGGGATTAGCACCGAAGATTTGGACCAATTGACTGCTGCCTGCGAAATCTGACAAAAGAGATCCACTCTGTGTTTCAATGCTTGAAAAGCCTGATCAGATTCCGGTGTAATTGCGACTGAATCATCAGCAAATGCCTCGGATTTCAGGGTTTGTCCGAAGGGAAGCAGAAAACCTGGTATGAGAGGATCGGCCCGTATCATAACATGAAGGATTTCAACATACAATATGTACAAATAAGGGGCCATCGGGCAGCCCTGACAGACGGATCTAGACAAAGGGATGGGACAGGATAGCGATCCATTAACAGACAGTCTAGAAGAAGCACTCGTGAACAAAGTCTTAATTGCACGTTTGAACTTCAAACCAAATCTGAATGTTGTCATTGCAGCCATGAGAAACTCCCAACCCACTCGGTCATACGCTTTTTGAAGATCCAACAATATTATGGCTAGTTGCTCCTCACCTTCAGCCATCAACTGTATAATTTGTTGAACTGTCATAACATTATACAGGATCTGCCTGTCTGGCAGGAAACCCGTCTGAGTCGGATGGATTAGCGAAGGCAAGACCGCTTGCAGTCTAGCTGCTAGTATTTTGCCAAAAACCTTGTAAATAACCGGCATCAAAGTGATTGGTCGGTAGTTACGTACATTAGTCAAATCTCCTTTCTTAGGAATAAAAGTTATGATTCCTTCCAATGCAGCTGATGACATTCGTGCCCCAACCCAAGTCGATTTGCAGATGCGAAACAGGTCCTGCAAAAATTGGGGGCTAAATCTTTTAAACAAAATGAACGGAAGCCCATCCCCCCCTGGCATCTTATGAGTAGATAGGGATCTGACTGCTTGTGTGACCTCGATAATCGTAATGTCTGCTTCCAAGTACTGGAACTGGCTATCTGTTAGTGTACACTCCACCTTTGACCAAACCTCGACTGTCTATTGGTGGAGCAGCTCTTCCTCTGAGTGTTGGGCTTGTGATGTCAGCAAGCTTTCATAGAATAATGAAACGTTTCTTATTATAGATGCGGTATCTGTTGCCGCAGGCTCTTGCTTATGAAAAGGATGCCTCATGGCTAGCATAAGCCGCGGATTATGGCGAGGGCGAGGGCTATCAAAGAAGGAGACTGTCATCCTGTCTCCTTTAACCGACCATGCTATTTTCTTCCTGTGTACTGTCATACGTATGGCTGGTTGCGTTTGAAATGTCCATTTTTGCCTGATTGAGTCCATTGGCCCCATGATTTCCAGTTCGTTACCCTGTGCTACAACCGCTTTTTCCATCAAGTCAGCGATATCATTATTAAGTCTAGCCAATTGCGTTCTTGTGTTAGTTGTCAACATCTTCTTCATGGCCATCCCTCTGGCGAAGATCGTTCGCAAACCTCCTTGATACCAATCTGTAAGCGAGGGGAAGAGAGATCTTGGTGAGCGCCAGTTTGGCCAAAATTCTCTCAGAAAAAGGTCAAATTCCCGAGTGTACAACACCCACTCAGGCAATACGGCTCGGCCAGTGCCCGCCCTAACTGTTGAATGCAGGAAGAATTCCAAAAAAAGGGGAAAATGATCGGAGCCAGCAAAAGGGACCACAAAACATCTAGACAATCTATGCAGCAGCACATCCGATGCCAGAAACAAATCTATCCTACTTCGCGGGATGTATGTTTGCTGTCTAGCTCCAGCAGCAAAAAAGGTATAACCTTTTTCAAAGGGGTGCAAAAGGCGAAAGACATCTGTGAATCCGTGCACTGAGCAAAATTCAGACAAGTGAACGGCATCAGTCGATGCAAGGCCTAATCTGAGGGAATCAGCCCCCGGTATTAGCACCGTATTCCAGTCACCACCCAAGACTAGATTATCTACCGCTGGAAGCTTCCATGACAATGATCTAAGGAGCTCTATTCTAGCTTTACTTTGTGTTTTTTTTGCCATTATGAACTAAAAAAGTGACCCACGAGCAGTTTCCCCTATAAAAAGAGAAGAAGAAAGAAAAAATTGTCTGAACTTGTGGACCATAAGGCCAAGTGAACTTGCCAGGCATTAAAAAAAAAAAAAAAAAAAAAAAAAAAAAAAAAAAAAAAAAAAAAAAAAAAAAAAAAAAAAAAAAAAAAAAAAAAAAAAAAAAAAAAAAAAAAAAAAAAAAAAAAAAAAAAAAAAAAAAAAAAAAAAAGATGGGAGCAAAAAGTTGCGAGGGGTGGAATAGGCCTACTTCAACCACCAGTACCTTTCCCATTTGTTGGACGCGGGCGGTGTCGGAGGCCCGAAACGAAAAGCGGGCTCTGGTTCGATTTATCGACGACAGACCTTTCCCGATTGGCTATTATTAAAGAAGGAATTTCCAAAGAAGAAGCAGAGAGTGTAAAAGCTCAATTAGAAGAATCAGGTGCAAAGGTAAATTAACTCAACTTACGATTAGGATAGATAGATATTTCTGGATATAGGCCCCTTTCTCCACGAAGTGGGCAATGTTGAGTATAGCCTTAGGGAGGGACCCCACAGCGGCGCGGTAACATTTTGGAATTCCAAAATGTGGTGGGCGGAATCCTACTGACGTGCGAGGTGGTTTCTGGAAATCGAGCGGAAGTGTTTCCACTCCCCCCGCGGCCCGTTCGTACCCCCTGCCAACCAAGAATTCTGTCGGCTACGGAAGGGTAGGGGGGGGGCACCCGTTCCGTAGCCAACGGAGAGGCAAGGAGAGGTGCGTGTATGGAGGTGGCCGTACCTGTGAGATGTCCGGTGGAGTGGTCCTGGCCAGAGGGCGGACATGCACCCGTTGTCACACAGCAAATGGAGCGGACCCAGGCTACCCCATGGTGTCTCGCGACGGCCCCGCGTGCGTTTTTGAATTTTTCGGCGCGCGGTGGACATTTTGAAATTTGAAATGGCTGGGAGGTGAAAAAAAAAAAACCACGAAAAATGTACAAACGGGATGCAGGTGGCCAAAACGAACACGCACTATGTCCATGAGCCCCTCGTCTGCATGAGGCATGCATGTCGACGGAACGTCGACCATTATTATCGACGCCGACGCCATAGCCAGGACAGCAATGCAGCGCACGCCATCCATCGCCCGCACTTTGGCCCGAGGTGTGCATCGACTCCAGCCGACTGGGGTTGGAGGCAGGGCATTGACGGTGATCGGCGCTGGTCTTGCTGCAAGGCATTGGATTGCGGCATGTGGCCAATCCGTTTGTGGATCGCCTTCGTGGAAAGCACACCTTGCGAACCGTGCTGAAGGGGACGCGGGAAAGATTGCTCGCGTGTGTCGTCTACACCCTGTGCTGAGGACATCGGCTTGGACGGGCGCTCGATTGTTGTCAGGCATCTGCCGCTCGCATCATCCAATCTCCTATCCTCCAGTTCCTTACTGAGCCGTTCTTCATCCACGCCAGACGTCACCTACACATCCTGGGGGGCTTGTGGGAGAGTGTGGGACAGTGCGACGTCCACAGCGGCTTGCGGGCAGGAAGGGGACACAGGACATTTTCACCCATTGCGGGGAGGGTCGTTCGTCGTCGAGCTGCAGGGGGAAGGACGTGGGACAGGGTCGGTGCACGGACTGCAGTCTCCTTTGGCCATTGGCGATCACCCTTCTTCTTCTTTTGGTTGTTGTGGCCATCGCCATTCTCTTCATTGTCGTGCTGTTGCTGGTAGCGGTGGTGTTGTGGGTTGTCGTCCACCCAAGGTCTGCCGCGAAGTGAGAACACCGGAAAATCCACCGAAAGATTGGAGCTTTCCGGAGGAGGAGGGCGAGTACGTGACATGGACAGGCGGCGTTGGTCGCAAGAGGTAGCCTTTCAAGAGCAGTATGGCGAGACAGAGCATCGAAACCGGTCGGGGGTGTGCGGGGCTTACAACCTGCCCCTCCACCAGCACACCTATCCATGTTAAGCCAGGATGCGGACAGGTACGGAGTTCCCCCTTCATTTCCTTCCCAAGTCGCCTCGCTGCCGCAGTGGCGAAATGATCCACCAAGCCTGTGTGAAATGCGGTGCATGAGCCAGCTGCCTTTCCAGCAGTCGGCGATGCCCGTTGCTTACGACGGACACCAGATGCTAGGGTCCCCTCAACCCCGCGCAACGTCCTCTCCTTTCAGCGGTTTCGTAGCTAGATCGGTGCCTCCTCCGGATTCACAACAACGTTGCTAAGGGAAGACGACGACGTGGAGTGCGGCATTGACGGGAGCGGGGCGGGGTTTGGGGTGACCGGTGATCGCTGAGCAGATCATGAGCGGGAGCACGGCAACGCTGCAAAGGGGAGGTGTGGTGACGCAAGTCACGAATTTGGATGCTATGAACAATGCGGCGGGGGACATGTGCCGGCTGTTGACACTTCCAATCCTTCTCGACCAGTGGCGGAGAGGAGTGGCCATGCAACGCCCGCGCAGGGGCAGCGGGAAGATGCTGGCGATGTGCCTGCCGCGGCGGTGCTCCAGCAACCATCTCCATTTGCCCCCGCCACGGGAGCCGGGGCAGGCACATGGCCGACTGGCCGCAGACGTGGCCATCCTCCAGCCGCAACGTCCACGTCGGCACAGGCCGGAGGCTGCGCGGATGGAAGCACTGTCATGCAGGGCACGGATGCAGGAGGCGTTCGTGGCAGGGCAGGTGCGCAAGCTCCTCCCGCGCAAAAAAAAGTTCATTGGTCGCTAGAAGAGTGCTTGGCTCTTGCTAGGATCCAGCGCGAAGACGATGCTCTTATGGCGGATGCGTCGAGTGTGCACAAGCTGAAGAAGCATGGGGAAAGACGGGAGTGGATCGCCCGTCGGATGAGGGATGAAGGGTGGAATCGATCTGCGGAAGACTGTCGGAAGAAGTGGTTCGCGTTGGGGCAGAAGTTGAAGGTGCTCGCAGACAAGGTGGGTCGGTCTGGGAAGCCAGGATACTTCGACATGATAGTAGAAGAGAGGGAGGCGGAGGGGCTGTACGCCAACTTCGATCGGAGGTTGTGGGCGGAGATGGACTGGATTCTGCAAAAGCCGTCGGGGACCTGTGACAACACGCTGTACTCGGACTCTCTCAATGCGAAGGACTGGGACAATTCGGCAAGAGGATCAAGTGATAGAGGAGGTTCGGATCAGGAGCGGTCTGATGGCAACGCCAGCGCCGGTAAGACGAGACGCACGTTCAGTGGGAGGGTGAACGATGGGGATGGGCCTTCGTCCATGTCAGGGATGAGTGTGGCACTTGCAGAATCAACGCGGGTGTACGTCGACGGGCTGGACAGGGCGGCAACGATGATAGCAGAAGCACAGACAGCGGGGGCAACAATGGTCGCAGGGAGGCTCGGTGACATGGCCACGCAGATCGGGGCAGTGGCCATTGCCATGATAGAAGGCAACGCTGTCCTTCAGCTGCTAGTGGGTGTGATGGCGAGCCGGGGCCCAAGGGGACCCAATAGCCCTCGCGAGGCTCGGGGGGGTCGTGACAACGACCCGTCTTCCCTGTGACGGCTTTGGAGGACAGCCTGCCTGCGATGCACATCCTGAAAGGTGGTGTGAGTCTGTGCAAGGGTGGGGGGCATGAGCGGAAATATTGAAGAAGGAAAAAAAAAACGACAAAAAAACGAAGGAGCTATGAACGGTCGCACCCGTTCGAAAGCAAAGAAGTAAAAAAA